CATGTACCCCCCCTAGTACGATGGTCAAAGTTGCATGTACCCCCCCTATCGTTTGCTCCACCCCCCCTATCAAGATAAATTATGAATGGTCCCTTAGTTACTACTAGGCCTACTAGTACTACACTACAGTCTCCAGGCTTGTTCATCTAGATATCTTATTCATGAGTAATGTCGTGGACTGCTCTCTCAGTCTCTGTGACTGACAGGACTGTGACTGTGTGTTTTGTACAGTGAATTTGTGCGACTTTAACTATGTTTACCATTTAATGACCATTACTTAATCGAAACATTTTTATGGTTCCCGGCCAGTAGATAAAGCAGGTATCACTGACTGTATTATTATTATCAATATCATTATTATTATATTCACATTGTTTTTCTTTCAGCGGGTTCTTGTGCTGGTCAGTTTCAACGTTGATGCGTTATGCGCCTGCAAAATCATACAGGTAATCTCAAAATCGCTAAAACCTTATACTGCTCTCTAGCATGTCGAGTTGTTCATGCAATCTTATACTATAGCTACCGTATTAATCCATCTATCTAACCAGACTGATATGGTGAAGTAAATGGTAAAGTTCTGTGTGTGGATTGTAATAACCTTGTTATTATTAAACCTGTTCGTAATCCCACGTGCTCTACTGCGAGCTCATGCATATGTAATGTCCAATGCGCGTCATAGTGACTTTGCACCATGAACAAAATCACGACAGACTGGCAACTTAATTGTGAACCTGAATATCTACGCCGTCGCATAATTTATAAAACGAACACCTGTTTTAGGCACTGTTCCAGTTGTGAAGATATATATATATCTATACCTCCGCATAATATAAAAACGAACACATGTTTTTTAGGCACTGTTCCAGTGTGACCACATACCCTACTCCATCGTTCCCGTGCAAGGTCAGGAGGACCTGTTACGAGCGTTCGCCGAACATAAGGAACAGATTAAGTAAGCACTCTTCTTCTTTCAATGCTTAGGAAGAATCTCCATGGGAGACGAGTTCTGTGTATTATGTTGACAGTAACCCACCTGTTGATTCCAGGTACATCCTAACTATAACCCACCCATTGATTACAGGTACACATTGACTACAACCCACCCGTTGATTACAGGTACGTGCTGACAGTAACCCACCCCTTGATTACAGGTACGCATTCACTACAACCCACCTGTTGATTACAGGTACGTGCTGATGGTAACCCACCCATTGATTACAGGTACACATTGACTACAACCCACCCGTTGATTACAGGTACGTGCTGACGGTAACCCACCCATTGATTACAGGTACACATTGACTACAACC